AAAATAAATTATATCCTTTAAAAAAAAAAGTAAAAATGACAGATGATAACAAGTGTTGGTGAGAATGTGAAGAAATTGGAGTTGGTACAATGCTGGTGGGATTATAAAATACTGTGGCCATTTGGAAAAGAGCTGGCAGTTCCTCAGAAAGAGTTACCTTTTGATCCAGCAACTCACTGCCAGGTGCATACTCAAGGGAATGGAAAACATACGTTTACACATAAACTTCTACACAAATGTTCATGGAAGTATTAGTCATAGCACCCACAAACTGAAATAACCCAAATGTCCATCAACTGATGAATCAGTAAATGAAGGTGGTCCATCCATATAATAGAATATTCCACCATACAAGGAAGACAAGTGCTGACACGCTGCAACATGGGTGAACCTCGAAAATGTTAAGTGAAAAAAGCCAGACACAAAAGGACAAGTACTACTGCGTGATTCCATCTACGTAGAATGTCCGGAACAGGCAAATCCATAGAGACAGAAAGTAGATTAGTGGTTGGCAGGGGCTGAGGGAAGGGGCACTGAAGGGTGACTGCTAATGGGGCATGGGTTTCTTTTTTGGCAGGATGAAAATGTTCTGGAATTAGTGGTGATGAATCCACCACATAATATATTAAAAACCTAGAATGTAGACTTTGTAAGTGTGAATCTTATATAACAGTAAACCTGTTTATGTATACATATGTATGTGTGTATATATGTATTCATTTACTTACATTATTATTTTTTTTTTGACTTTCACTCTGTCACCCCGGCTAGAGTGCTATGGTGTCAGCCTAGCTCACAGCAACCTCAAACTCCTAGGTTCAAGCTATCCTCCTGCCTCAGCCTCCCAAGTAGCTGGGATTACAGGCACAGGCCACCACACCTGGCTTAGATATATTTTTAAAATCCACCAAAGGCAGACCCTGATGTGTTCATGCACTAGAGGCTGGGATGTGCCCTGGCCCATCAACTTGGGAGAGCTGTGCTCTGGGAGGAAGAGAAGGAGGCCCCAAGGCAACCGCAGAGCTAGACCACAGGCTAGGCCTGTACAACCAGAGGACTAGGCCTGTACAACCTGAGGGTAAAAGCTGTCACCTGGAACACTACAGCACTGCCAGCCTGAGGGACTGCCTGCCCAGACAGTCTGGGAAGTTTTTGCACAAAGGAAGAGGGAGTGCTCCAGCCCAGAGTGGAGATGGTGTTCTCATCTGTGTAATGGGAACAAGACTCCCTTCCTCCCTCCCAGGTTGTCATGGAGATGAAAAGAGACCATTTGTATTGAAAGGTCTTTGTAATCTGCTATGTGCTGGACAGATGTTCCTCCAGCTGTGAGTAGGGAATGAGAACTCCGCCCCAGCCCTATGCAGCTGTGGGCTGGAGTGAGGCAAAGAGTAGGAAGCCTGGCTCTGCGTCCTCCCTGCAAGGATGCTCCTGATTAGGGTGATGGTTTGAGTTTTCCCCTTGCTTTGGGTGGGTAGTTCTGCACTGGGGAAGGCCACCTTCCTCTTTCCTTTCTGACAGAACACCCTCTGAGGGGGAGGGGCAGCCAGGAGGAAGCTGGACTGGGGGTGGGGGGAGCCTGCAGGGAGGCCCTGCCCATCCCAGGGAATGAATGGTTTGGAGACTAAATTGGGGAGGAAAACTAATACTTTGCTAGAACTTGGAGAATTGTTAGTTGGGACAGACCCCTGTAACAAAAGAACAAGAACTCCAAGCCATGACTTCGAGCTCTGCTCCTTCAGCATCCTCAACAGAGAACAATACCTTCGTCCTTTGACAGGACAAAGAAAAGCAGGTCTAGGCTTTCAAGGGTAGGAAACTGTGGGAAGGCAAATGTATGGCAGGAAACCGATGTCAGAGTGAGGTTTGTCTGCAAGTTCCTCTGAGCTAGTAAGAGTCTCGAGTTGTCCCCAGTAAAGGAGAATGTATACTCCTCCACCTGTGGGCAGGAAAGGACAGAGAGAGAGTTGTGCTGCTTAATTGTCTTCAGCTCAAAATTAACTTTTATGTCCAAGAGGCATGTTTTGGGGTGACATATTCTGGTTCCCCCAAACTACAAGGCCCCAAAGATGAAAGAATGAGGTAAAAGTGAGGTCCCTGGGGCCTGCCAGACATGTGCGATGGGTCCTCTTTACTAGTGTGTGACCTTTGGCATGTCATTTAACCTCTCTGTCCTTGTTTCCTCTTCTGTGAAATGAGGCTGGGTCTTAGAGATGTGATATATGTAAAATCCTCAGTGCCACCTTCAGCCCTAGGGTTTGCTATCACCACCACAAAGAGAAGATGTCTGTTGGTGGAATGTGTCTATTTGTTGAAATTGCATTCATCAGGCCAGGCACAGTGGCTCAGGCCTGTATTTCCAGCACTCTGGGACGCTGAGGCCTGAGGATAACTTGAGCTCAGGAGTTCAAAACCAACCTAAGCAAAAGTAAGACCCCATCTCTACTGAAAATAGAAAAATTAGGCGGCACCTGTGGCTCAAAGGAGTAGGGCGCTGACCCCATATGCCAGAGGTGGTGGGTTCAGGCCCAGCTCTGGCCAAAAACTGCAAAAAAAAAAAAAAAAAGGAAGGAAAAGAAAATAGAAAACTTATTAGGATGTCATGGCAGGCGCTTGTAGTCCCAGCTACTTTGGAGGCTGAGACAGGAGGATCACTTGAACCCAATTTTTGCAGTGCTGAATGCCACTGCACTCTAGGCTGAGTGACAGAGTGGTAAAAAACAGAACAAACAAAAAACCCCAAACGCTGAGGTATTCTATCAAGGAAAAACAAAACAAGGAAAGAAATTGCATTCATCTAAGCAACAGGCACTTACCCAGCACCTGTGTCTGTGTGCTGGGGCTGGGGTCCCAGCAATGAGCAAGGTCCTCAGCAGGCCGCCCGGGATCTGTGTGGTTTGAGGGTGTGTGCTGTGGGACGAGTGTAAACATGACGCTAGGTGTGGGCTCCTCTAGCAAGGCCACTGCCCTGCAGGCAGGGTACAGCGTGCAGATGCTTGGCGCTGCCCTGGCCCCTCTCAACGCCTCCTTGCCCCGACCTGCCACTCCAAGCGCAGTGACTGGGCACATTCCTGGGGTAGGGCGGAGAGGGATGAGTGGGTGGAGCAGAGTAGTAAATATAAGATCTCGGGCGCCTCCAGCTTTCCGCTGCGCTGCCGTGACCCTGCCAGCCAGTGAGTTCTGGGTGCACCGGGTGGGGGCGGGGCCCAGGCTGAGCCGCGCTCCGTCGGGGGTCTCCCCTGCACCCCTCGCCTCCCCACTGGCTCCTCCTGCATAGCCTGCATCGTCCGGTCTTTCCTAGTGCCGCCCTACACCATCGTTTACTTCCCTGCCCGAGGTGAGGCCCCAGCTTCTTCAGGAGGACAAAAGGCACAGGCGTAAAGGCTGCTCCTTGGGCCACCGGCACCTGCCCTCTGCTGGCTGCTGCTGTGTGAGGCCGCAGGTTCCTCTAGAGCGGGGTTGTCCACCTGTGTCCCTCTCCAAGGCACTATGAGGGTCACAGACTCCACCCTTTCTTCACACTTCCATCCTCTCCCTAGAAGACGCCCAAGCTAGAGTTTATGACTTTTCCCCAGGTCCCCTCTCCACCTGCCTCATTCCTCCCCATGTTGCTGTGAGACTGGGTCTCTTCCTGCGTCCCCACGCCCCTGTCCTGTCCCCCACCCCTAGGGCGCTGTGAGGCCCTGCGCATGCTGCTGGCAGACCAGGGCCAGAGCTGGAAGGAGGAGGTGGTGACCAAGGACACTTGGCATCAGGGCTCCCTCAAGGCCTCCTGTGTGAGTGATCCTGCTGGGCAGGGGGCAGGACAGGACAAGGGTGGGGGCGGCCAAGTTCAGCCCCCTCATTGGCGCCCTTGCCTCTCCCCCAGCTGTTTGGGCAGCTCCCCAAATTCCAGGATGGAGACCTGACCTTGTACCAGTCCAATGCCATGCTGCGTCACCTGGGGCGCTCCCTCGGTGAGTCCTGAGCCCTCAAGTGGCCCAGTCCTGCCCTGCTGGAGAGCAAGCCTCACAGCCCCCAGAGGAAGGTACAGAGCCTGGGTTCTGTAAGGACAGGGGCCATATGGCCTGGGCTGGCCCCCCTCTCGGGCAGTACCAGGGGGAGTTGCCCCACCTGTTTACTGGACAACGGATGAGAGGAGGCCACCAACCCCCATGGGTGCTCTGGTGCAGGCCAGGGGCCACTTCAGGTAGGGCCAGAGACTTCCAAGGAGACCTCCTTGCCCATTTCTTCAGTCTGGGCACATCTGAATCTGAAAAATCTATACTCACAGTTAGTGGGACTGTGGCCATGTTTCAAGGGTAGCAGGAACACGATTCAGGGGAGATACTATCTCCTCTTTAGCCAGCATGTGGGGTCCAGGAAAGCCTACAGTCCCAGAGGCATGGCACCCAGGGAAAGGGGCACAGGAGCAGTGGGAGCAGGCCTGGTCCAGCCTACCCCAACTTCCAGAGGACCCAAGAGTGAGGACTGAGGCCACCTACCCCCTGGGCCTGTCACCTCCTCTTCCTGCCCTGATGGTGTCCTACAGTCCTGTCCAGTCCTTCACAGCCATCACCGGGCCTAGGGAGGCACACACCAGATGCTTGGTTCTCCCTTTGAGTGGCAGAGGTGGGGTTGGTGCCATGTGGGCAGAGAATGCCCGGGATCCTGGTACCCAGGTGGTAGCCCAGAAGACAAGTGCCTATGGAGTTCTCCCCTGTGCAGGTGGGAGCAGCAGAGTGGGGCAGAGAAGGCTTTCCAGAGTGAGGGATCAGAGAGGGGTCCTGGTGGCCCAGGCCTGGGGCTTACAGGCTTTTGGGGGAGAGGACAGAACCTGAGCCTATTGCCTGGCTGCTGACCCAGGGTTGTACGGCAAAGACCAGCTGGAGGCGGCGCTGGTGGACATGATAAATGATGGGGTGGAGGACCATCGTAAGCGCTGTAGCTACCTCATCCACCATAACTATGTGAGTGGGGGCTGGTGCTCCAGGGCAAGGTGATTGCGGTTGGGAAGTCACCCTCATCAGCTTCGTTGCACGCCCCCAGCTGAGATCATTCCCATTCCCAGGAGGAAGGCAAAGCCAGGTATGTTCAGGAGCTGCCAGGACACCTGAAGCCTTTTGAGACTGTCTTGGCCCAGAACCAGGGGGGCCAGGCCTTCATCGTGGGTGACCAGGTGAGTGCTGGGTCTGGCTTCTCGCATTCCATTGTAGGTCCATTTGTCGGAAGGGCAAACTGAGGCCCAGAATGGCCTAGTTCATGGGAGAAGAGTCAGTGTTCTGGCTCCTGAAGTCTCTCTCCCTCCTCACCTGGCTCAAGCCCTCTCACCCCTTTGCCCTGCAGATCTCCTTTGCTGACTACAACCTGCTGGACTTGCTGCTGGCCCACCAGGCCCTGGTGCCTGGCTGCCTGGACAGCTTCCCCCTGCTCTCGGCCTATGTGGCACGCCTTAGTGCCCGGCCCAAGCTCAAGGCCTTCCTGGCCTCTCCTGAGCACATGAACCGCCCCATCTTTGGAGGCCTCCAGATATGAACCTACTTGGCCTCCCTCCCAGGAGAGGGGTTGTCCTCAAGAACAAATAAAGACTGAGAAAAAGAGCTGTGCTGTGGTCGCTGAGGTATGGGGTAGGCACAGGGGACCCTCTGCCCCTTCCTAGGCTGCCTCAGGGAGGGTGAGTTTGAGGCTGGATATGTGGGCCCTGCAGTGGCACCGGGCCCCAGAGCTGCCAAGAACGAAAGAGGAATTCAAGGCCCTAGACCTCAAAGATGCACCCTGGAGGCTGGCCTGTGGGAGGGGTGTGCCTCACAGGGCTGTTGTCATTATAGCTGCCCTTGGTCTCAGTCCAAGAAAAAGTCAGCCATGAGTAAAATGGGCAGTTGCTGCTGGTGAGCGATGAGTTCCATTGTCTGGGTACACGCAGATGTGTGGTGCACGTGTACGCTCGGGTGTGACACATGTGCCCCAGTGTTCCCTGCTCCCATGTGTTACCAAGGGTCACAGACACCAGCCTGTGCAGCAGGCGGCCAGAAGGGCCCAATCGAGGGCCTGAAGGTGGCCTGGAACTCTCCTGCTGCTGGACTGCTCCATATCAGTGTGTGTGTGGCTCACACTGCCCAAGAGCCCCATCCTCTCCTTCCTGAACTATTGGGGCAGCCTCCTCAGTGGTCTCTGAACCTTCCTGGCACCTCTTACCAGGTATTGGGCAATCTGGAGTCAGAAAATTCCAGAATGTCAGTCATTCCCGTGCAAACCTGCTGCCCTCAGAGTGAAGACCACACCCTGCTGGTCCTGCACCACCCTCCAGAACATTCCACACCCCTCCCTGTCCTGTTCACCCTCAGACTGCCTCTCAGCTCTCCAGACATGCCCAGTGCGCCCTCCTGGCCTGGGTCGCTGGGATTTCCTCTGCCCTACACTCCACCCTTGCAACGTCCCACAGCGCCCCGGGGGCCTGGCTTACTCTGGTCTCCAGTGAACCATAGTCCTCCTCTGGGGGCAGGGATCAGCTCTGGTTCATTTCTGTGTCCCCTGACTCCCCTTCCCCTGCTAGGAAGAGGGTATAGAAACAACAGCAAGAGCTGACTGTGTTCCCCGCCCCCACCACAGGTATTGCTCTCTCCTTCCTTCCTCTTTCTCATCAACCCAGTGGTATCTTACAGGCGTGTCCCCTATCGCAAACCTGTCTGAGCTCACAGGCCTTGGGCTCCCACCCAGAGTTAGGGTATCTCATCTAACCCCCTCTGGGGTGAAGCCAAGCTCAGAAGTGAGCTGACTCATTACATAGGTGACAGGGCTGGAATTCAAACCCAGGCCTGAGTGACTCCCAGGCTTTGCTACAGGAAAAATAGGAAGGGAAGGGAGTGGGAGCCCAGGACAGAGTAGGAGGGCAGAGAGGGCGAATGCTGGGCAGAATCTTGGAGTGTGCCTGGGGTGTCTGGGTGCCCTGCCAGCCAGTCATCAGCAGTGCTGGACTCCTACACCATAGTGGTGCACTGTGTGGATGGTGGCCATGGGAGCCGCTTGGAACATCCCAGGGAACCAGGAAGAGAAAAGTTGCTATTTCCAAAGCTCCTTGCAGCCAGCCACTTTCTCCCTCTTCAGGGTGACCAGTCCATGCATTTTGACTGTGGCTCGGAGATGGCAGGAGTGTGAGGAAGAGGAGCTCCCAAGGCCAGAAGCAGCGACTCTCAGGAGTGGCTGGGTGGCTGGGGACTGGTGTGAGTGGGTGGGTAGGCTGGGGAGAGGCAGGAAACCTCTGGAGAGGTGACAGGAGACACCCAGGACATGTGGCTAGGGCTCTCTGGCAACATATTGGAGAGAGGAGTTTGGCTTCTTCCAGCCAATGCCCCCCGCACTTTCCTGTATTACCTCATTTAGTCCTCACCAAGAACCCACCTGGCAGGTGCTATTATTATCCCTGTTTTCAAGACGAGGAAACTGAGGCTTAGAGAGGTAAGGTAACCAACCTAAGGTCATACATACAGCTGGAAAGAGGCTAAGTCAGAACTTGAATCAAGGTTTTCTGGCTCTAGAGCCTGTGTTTGACTCAATTCTGCCATAAGTGGGGGCTCAGCTACCGTTTTTTTATGTTCTTTATATTCTGGTATGGAGCGATGGGATGAGGCTGGAAGTTCTGGTCATTCTCCCTAGCTATATGGGGGGGCAGAAGCCTCAAAAGAAAGGCTGGGTATTAGCTGAACAGGGGCACGGGAGTGGGACTGTTTTGGGTTTGAAGGTTGGAATATTTTGTCAATGGAAAACAACCCATGCTCTCAAAAATAAAGAAGTTTATTTGGAGCCAAATACTATGTATGTGCCACCATGGCCCACAGCCACACCCAAGAAACCTCAGACAAGTGGTCTTGTCATGATTGGGGTACAGTCTTTTTTTTTTCTTCAGTTTTTGGCTGAGGCTGGGTTTGAACCTGCCACCTCTGGCATATGGGGCCAGTGCCCTACTCCTTTGAGCCACAGGCGCCACCCTACAGTCTGGTTTTATATACTCACAGAGAGAGGCATTATATGTAAAGTCATAAATCAATGCATGGAGGATGACCATTGGTTTGACCCAAAAAGGCAAGTGGGGTATTATGGGTTATAGGTGGGTTCGAAGATTCTTTCTTTAATTTGTACTGGTCGAAGAAATAAAGCTTTGTGCAAAGACTTGGAATGTCTTAAGATAAGGAATTCTGTTAATCAGAGATAAGCCATGGGACAGATACCAGACTCAGATACTTACTGTTAAATAAATTGAGGACCCACCGGTATGATTGTACTTTGCCTCGCATAACTTGTGGCCTGTTAATGAGTCACAAATGATATCTCTAAGGAGGGAGGGGGCGTGATGAGGCATGTCTGACCTCTGATCTCATGGCCAGCAAATCAGCTTTAGAGTATTTCTTTTTTCTTTCTTTCCTTTTTTTTTTTTTT